CAGCGCAAGGCAGGCAGGGCCAGCACTGGCCTCACACACATGCGGTCAGCACAAGGCAGGCAGGGCCAGCACTGGCCTCACACACATGCGGTCAGTGCAAGGCAGGCAGGGCCAGCACTGGCCTCACACACATGCGGTCAGCACAAGGCAGGCAGGGCCAGCACTGGCCTTTGTGCACATGCAGTCAGCACAAGGCAGGCAGGGCCAGCACTGGCCTCATGTACATGCGGTCAGCACAAGGCAGGCAAGGCCAGCACTGGCCTCACACACATGCGGTCAGCACAAGGCAGGCAGGGCCAGCACTGGCCTCACGCACATGCGGTCAGCACAAGGCAGGCAAGGCCAGCACTGGCCTCATGTACATGCGGTCAGCACAAGGCAGGCAGGGCCAGCACTGGCCTTTGCGCACATGTGGTCAGCGCAAGGCAGCCAGGGCCAGCACTGGCCTTCAGGCCGCGCTGACAAGGTCCCCTCTGTTATCTGAGAATGCCTCCGGCCATTTGGTCACCACAGGCTCCTTCCCCGAGGGACATCCAAGATCAGAATCAGAACCCCAGTAGGTTCCGGCAAGTCCAGCACACAGAGGGAGTAAGAATCACCTCAGGAGCGACACACCAGGTCTGAAGAATGTCCAAAGCATGGTGCTCGTGATGCCGTCTAGAAAGTCCACACGGGTCTCAGATTCAGATTTTAGTTTTCCAAGCCAGTTTGCATTTTCCTGGAAAATGTATGCCTGGGTCTTAACTTTCCTGAGATTGCTTGAGCACATGCAATCTAACATGCTCCTCCTTGCTTAGCAAAGCGCGTGTGCCTGTTTGGTCATCTCATGTAAATTTGGCTATGGAGCCCAGACTCATGCTGTCATTGTAGACTCTGCAGTAGATCATTCAGGTCGTCTTTTGTTCGTTTGTTGTTTTTTTCTGATAAAGGCTCCTAGTTCTAAGGTGTTAGGCTCACGGCTCTCCTGTAGAAACCTTCTTAGATCTGGTGGAAGTAGCTGTGAACATGATATCTGTGCCTGGTGGTATAACCATGCCATGTTCAGTTCAGATGGAGAACCTGGTGTCCATTTTAGGTGCAGTGTTCTGGAAGCTCCCACCCAAGTTTGACTTCAGTGTGGTGCAAGAAACCGACTTAATAAAAGTGTTCTCTGGAAACAAAACCAAAAGCAAAGACGCACAGAACAAGTTACAGACTGGAGCTCTGAGTTCAGAGAAATCCAGCTGGGGTTTCTGGCTCTGAGCTTTGGGCATCTTTCCATGGCTGGGAGGGGGGGGAAGAGCGGGGGGGGGGCTCCAGCCGGCAGCCCTCCCGGCTGCACTGGGAGTGTTCTGGAAGGTCTCCAGACGCTCTTGGGGCTCTTTCATGGCCACACAGCACTGGTGATGGTTTCTCTGAAGTGTATGGCAACTCTTTCAGCTTTAACTCACAGGCCTTGAGGACAGGACAGTGATTTCAAACCAGAAAGTGGAACAAAACTGAAAATGTTATTTCGAGAAATCATGGTGTGACATTGGAGAAAAACAGTTTTGAAGTGCAGTAACGTTCAGAGACACCGGGCAGGACTAAATCCTGACCGGCCCGTTGCAGGCTTCCCCCGAAACACATCTTTTCTCTCTGTGCTCGTTTTATTACTGCCGGACCACGGCCACATACTGTAGGACTGCCGGGTCCGCAGAAGGAGGGCAGGCTCCCTAAACTCAGAGCTGGGGCAAGGCCATTGTCCACGCCTCAGGTACGGCCCCCCCGCCCCAGGCCCCACAACTCCTGAGGGTTCCTGGCTCCAGGAAGTCCGTGGTGGCTCTTTCAGACTCTCCAGCGGCAGGGAGCGCAGAAGGACCCACAGTTGTGTCCTCTTCCAGAACAGATCTTTTTGCCACTTATATAAAGTCCTACATGCCTTAAAATGTAGAACACACAAGAAGAGCTTCTGAATTCTGCAGGGCTTTTGTTTCCCAGAGAATATTTTACCAAATTGCTATGAGTTACAGAAAACTCACTTGAAAAGTAAACATGAGTTCTTCAGATCTGTAAAACAGAACATCAAAGAACCAATCAAGTTTCAAACAAAAAGTCATAAAAATTACAGCCCTGCTCCAGAGCTCTCAGTGCATGGAGTCTGCTCTGGTGCACTGGGCCTCGGGTGGGCAGTTTTGTGAATGGCTCAGTTTGATTAAGTCTGGAATCTTCTCCTAGCCCAAGGTCAGGACCTTGCAGAAAGCTGCCCACATCAGTGTTTTCCAGGGACCTTCTTACATGGCATAGCACTTGCAAAAAAAAAAAAAAACTGTCAGAACAACATCAGATTAAGAGAATGACTGTAAAGCACCAGGGACTGAGGCAGCCGTGCTTTGGTTTTGATGGGAGTTCGTTAGGGTGTTGAGTTCTCACTGGGACCGCAGCACCTTTGTCACCAGCATGGCCCTCAGGCTGGTCTCTCCACCTGACAGAGCGGCCCCACACAAGCATCTCTTGATAGGGACGGAGTACAAAACCGTTCACACTTGCTAGGAGTCCTCCAGAATTCCTAAGTTCATTAGACATCAAAGACTTCATTAGAAGTAGATTCGGAAACATTTATCAAAATATTTTAAAACTTGACTAAATAGAATCAAAGGGAATTGCCCATCTAAAGAAGTGAGAAAAGTCTCAAATGCGGATCCAAAAAGTTATGTTAGTTCTATAATAGAATGCAAGCAATGGAAGGGCTGAAACACAGGAAGTTATTTTGATAAAACATAGAATCTTTATTTCATCACGCAAAAGACAAAATCCTTTTCAAAATGTTTCTTTTCTTTGCTGTTTTGTTCTATTGAGACAAGACCTTGCAATGTAGCCCAAACTGGCCTGGAACTCAAGGTCTGCTGGGGTTACATGCATGAACTGCCAGGTCTAGTTCTCAGAATCGCATCAAGTCTTCTGGAGCTTTGCCTCAATAGTAGTGCACTTGGCTAGCATGCTTGAGGGCCTGAGTTCCATTCCCAACACCAATCCAAAAAGAAAAACGAAAGGAGGGAGGGAGGGAAGGAGGGAGAAAGAAGAAGGAAGGGAGGAGAGAGAAAGAAAAAAGGAAAGAACACATCAGCACTCTGCCCTTTTAACTGAGAACAAATTCTGGTTTAGTTTGAGTGTGTTATTTTTCAAACCCTGGTTCTTCAGCCACTTGACCACATAGATTGTCTCTGTCATGCTCTGCTTTCTAAATGTGCAGATTCGTTTCTACGGCGTTCTGTAGATTGTCGTGTTGGCTCTGGCTTTAGGAGTGGAGCAGGATATGTATAATAATCCTCTGAGGATGCTTCAATCTTCTACCCAAAAGTAGACACACTTCTGCTCAACAAGTAGTGCGTCCGTATTTTATCTTTGGATTTACATCAACTTAATCCCCTTGTTTTTCATTTTCTTGTTAAGATATTTGGAACATGGGTAGCAATAAGAGTTGCATGTCTATATTATTTAGCAATAAGAGTTGCATGTCTATATTATATGAGATGGTGGTATGTCTTTTGATTCTTGTATACAATATTCCTGTTTACCAAAAGATTACCCAGCTTGGAATTTGAAAAACATCTGGGTTAATTCCTGTTTCTCTGAGAGTTCTAGTCTACTTCTTGTTTACTAAGACAATTAATAGAGCTCTTTTATATATTAATTTTGACTTGCCACCCAGAAGTAGTATCCAAAACACAAGACATCAGATGCCTCCCAGCTCCAGGCAGAGCCTGGCAGCCCACACCAGGTGTCAGCAGGAGTCAAATGCACCGCTCTGCTCACAAGCTCACAGCTGCAGGGCCTTTACCAGGCTTCCAGAGCTGGCTGGGGCTTTGGGTCAAAAGCAAAGTAAGTCCAGCCTGAGTTCCACTGTTCGCTAGCAGGGATA